ATACCCCCGGTGGATCATCGCCCATTAGGCCTGACGGACTTGGTGACCGAACGAGTCTTGGCTTGGATCAAATCTCCCTTTCAACCTCCTCATCCTTTCTGCAAACATCCTCCATCCCCAATCATCGACTTGGCCCCGAGGGTCCCCCCCCCTTTAGACTATCGCAGATTTTCATGTTTAACCCTTCATGACCTGAGAATAAACAGTCCGAACCCCCTTTGGATTCTCTGCCAATTTCCCACGCCCCCCTCGAGTCACGCCCTCGAGCGAATTAGTTTTCCCATCTTACTTTAGGGGAGGAAAGCAGCCACCACGGACCGAATTCTCCATCGTCCCGACATCCCTCATCTGACGGAATCTCATCTACGAAACCTGTCCCCTTTACGATCCTCTCGCCCATCATGCGGGAGGTCAACTTCAGTATCCCAAATGTCAACAAGGCTTCGGTGAACATTACAACTACCCTCTACGACCGGCGTGCCCTCGATTGCACGTCAACCCTGCCCCTCATAAATTCCCTCAACCATCTCGCCTATCTAACCACTTCCTCCGCTCGAATTCGCGATATACTCACGGTCGATGGCGGGATTGAACGGTTGGTCTGCATCCTCAAAGAGGGTCGCAGTAGAGATTTGATGGAAATGTGGAAGTGGAGCCTCGCCTTCCAGTGTGTGGTCAACATCGGGGTGCGGGGCTCAGAGAGTGTGAGGACGAGAGTAGTCGAAGCGGATATGGTGCCGGTGATTGCGACCATTCTTGACAATTATATCAAGGTGGTGGACAAGGCGCGGGCACGAGCGGACAGCGAAAACCAAAGACACTCGTCACGGCATCACCCCAAGGCGGCCCCTGCCGCGGGCGATGTGACCGGGCGCCCGTCCTTCCCAGACCAGTCGTCCAACAATGAGCAACGCACCTCTCGTCGCCAGGCACCTCCCCCGTCGATTGAAATCCCTGCATTCCTCCACCAGAACACAAATGCACCCGACGCAAACGCCATGGACGTTACCTCGTCCCCTCGTGCCCCCATGACCTCGCCTCCAGAGAGGAGCACATTTGGACAAGAGGCCCACATCCACAGATCGCACGATGGTCGTCATTTGCACAATGGTCATCGTCACAGGGCGATGCAGCCCCTGGCCACGGCCTTGCCACCCATGGATACCGCTGATGGCTTCGGTCTGCGCCCCGTGCGGGACACGGAAAGACTCCCAAGCATGCTGCCCACCTTACACAACGGGATTACATCGCAGCCTGATTCTCCGACGACCCCCAGCGGCCCTGTGCAGTCTCGCAGCCATGCCCCGACGACTGCCGCTAGACAGCGACCTACGTTGAGGCAGCAACAGTCGGCATCGGGAGACTCTGATGATGGGAATGGAGAAGGCTCCACTCTGGGCGACAACACCGGCTCAGCAGAGACATCGGAGCCCATTGTTGGTCTCCAGAACCAAATGGAGATTGATGAAGTGAGCGACCGGCAAACTATGATAGACGGCGTTTCCAATTCCCATGATCTGACCGTGACCGATCCGTCGGAAGGCCAAGAAGCCGAGACGTTCAACATCAGCCATCGTTCCACGGTGGATGGCAGCATCATCAACAACGACACCACGCAGACCAACACGGCTCTGGGGCTGTCTCCGACACAGGCCGCTAATAACGCCAACTCTCCCGCTCTCGTCCCGAGTCCATACTCCCTATACTTCCGCGACCGGTCTGCAGCCCCCCAGAATGTCCTGACAACAATGCCCCGTGATGAAGATGTCTTGATGTCTCTCCAATTGTTGGCCTATGTCTCGAAGTATTGCAACCTTCGGTCATATTTCCAACACTCTCACCTCGTACCGAAGCTCAAGGTCGACCGTGAACTTCAGATGCTGGAGGAAGGAGCGTCGCCGATCGAACCGCCGGAGGAAGAGGAGGAGTACATGCTTCCTGACGATGTCAACATCTTCCCCTTGGTGGAAAAGTTTACAGTGCGTCATCACTCCAAAGACATGCAGTACTGGGCTTGCGTCGTCATGAGGAATCTCTGCCGCAAGGACGAGTCGAGAGGTGGCATTCGACAATGTGCATACTACAAGTGCGGAAAATGGGAAGAGTTCCAGCGACAATTTGCCAAGTGTCGCCGTTGCCGCCGCACCAAGTACTGCAGCAAAGATTGTCAGAAGGCCGCGTGGGTGTATCATCGTCACTGGTGCCACACCACGCCATGATATGAACGGATGAACTTTGTCTAATATATCTAATGCATACCTGGCTTGCATAGCGTCATACCTGCCATATTTTCTTTTTGTTTTCGAGATTCCACATCTACCCGTGCATGGCATTTCAGAACCTGGCGGCGTTTCTCTTCATCTCAAGATACCTTTTCTGTGTTCTCTATTCCTGCAATTCCCATATCTCAAACTCTGTTATTACACCCACTGTTCCATTAACGTTGGGCATGATGCCTATTTACTGCTCATATGGATAACCTCTAGCGGTCATGAATATGCACACGGCGTTTTCCCAAACACTGGGCCTTTCTGTCATTCATATTCCTGTTGCTCTTTTTTTTTCCCCTCTTCGTTTCCCGTTGGTTATCTTGAAACAATCCATACTTCATCTCCTCGACGCCGGACGATTTTCCTTTTGTCAGTAGCTCTTTAGCATATTTCTTGGCTCAAACGGTCTTGTTGGGAGCATCTTCATTTGGCCTTTTGCGTTATTGTCGATATTTACCTCATTGGCGAACCATTGGTCTTGGCCTCTAAATACCACAGTGAATGTTCTGCTTGACGGCAGTTTTGTCTACTCTGTTCATTGCTCTCAGTGCATCCATGTGCATAAGATATTTTGATTAATCTCCTTTATGAATGAAATAGTCTCATGACTTGGTTATAGTTCAGTGCGAGACCGTTCTTTTACTGCTAAGTGTTGGATAACAAGGTATATAACGCAAGGGGAACAGGATACAGTTCTGTGGTCTCGAAGCCACATTCCAGCTATCATTTATCGAACTTGTACGTTGCAGCCAATCGTGCCTCTAAGTGTTCTTGGGCTGTCAGGGTTCGTTTGCCTGGTTCCAGACTCCCAGCCCCGCCGCCAAAGCCAACTTTCTCGTCCTGGACACCACTCTCCTTGCACTTCTGTCGATGGGCAGTTACTATGTCACTAGGGACAGGGACCAGTTCTGTCTTATCCAAGGGGTGGCAAAAGAAGACGATACTGTAACGATCCAGCGGGTTGGGACTCTGTTGCTCCGATAGTGGGAAAACGACGCGGTGGACGGTTGATTTCAGAAGCCCATCTGTCCAGTAGCTAAGCAAGTCGCCGATATTGACTAGAATAGGAGGGAAAGGGAAGGCAGCATCCCGGTCCTCCTCAGCAGTATGCCCCGGTTGCACTGGGACGGGTGCCCAAGTTCCTTCTGGCGTCAGGATCTCCAGGCCTGGCTGGCCGGGACGCTGGAAGAGCAAGGTGACGCTGCCATAGTCGGAATGTGCGCCTGCACGAACGTCGGTGCCGTGCTGGTAAGATGAGGTTGCCGGGGAGGCGATTGAAGGGTAATAGAGGTAACGGAGATTACAACCTGTCGGGCCTTGACTGGGGTCGTGACGAGCAGTGAAGAAGTCCTCAGGGATCTCGAGTCCAAGTGCTAGCAGCTTGAGGATCCTGTCGCAGGTTTTATTGCAGAGATCTGCGAAATGAGCGATTTCCGGCTCATGTGAAGTCAGGGATCGCGGCAGTGGGTGTTGGGCCTTCCCGTCTTTGAATTCCCCAAAGTTGAATGCCCTGAGTATGATCTTAGTTTGATTGTAAGTAATATAACAGGGGAGTTCCGACTTACTCTTTGAAGTCACCTGTCTAGGAGCACAGATAGTAAGTATAGTCATCAGTCACAACTGCGGCTAGAGACGAAGTCATAGTTACCCGTTGGTGCTCTGGATCCAGCGTCTCGACATGCATACCGGACCAGCCATAGTTCTAGGGCCGTCAGTTACTTTATACAGCCTCTCGTATGAAGGGACTTCATACTCACATTGGGCTGGATCCGACAAGCCGCCTTTTCCTCCACGGGGGACTTAAAGAACTGCCTTGACTATCTCGCTGAGTCAGTTAACGCCGTTGTATAAGGGCATGGTTCTCGATGGGAGAGCCTGCGTGGTTGCGAGGAATGTGGTCGTACAAGATCAAAAGCCGTCTCAACATCACTGACGGTGAAGTCAGTTCCTTTGCTGCTCACGTAGAGGAAGCCATATTTCGCGGCTGCATCCAGCATCGCCTTCCCCACGGCGGGGTCGTTCGGATTCGAGATGTCCAAAATTGGGAGTTGAATGAGGGGCCCCACGGGTGTGTTTTCCCCCGCCATGATGGGTTTTCGGTTTTACCACGAGTATGATTAATTGATAAAGGACCTCTGCAATTGTAACAGAAGAGGGAGAAGGGGAGGGAGGGGAAGTGCCGGAATATAAAGATAGAGATGGGGGGCTACGGTTATCTCTTATCAGAATGCCATGGTTGTCGGATCGGAGCGATGCGACAAGGGTCCTTTCGAGTAAAGGATAGGCAGTGAACTATCGGTTTTCTCCAGCTGTCAAGGGTGAACCCCTTCTAATCTAACAGTTGATGGTATAGGGAGTTTTAATGTTGTGTATATACTACTACTAGTAGTCAATAAATATATATATGTATCCTTACGCAGTGGCGGTAGGTATATATCTTGTATTGTACCGACTGTTTCAATACATACAAATCCAAAATACATCAGAGCCTTACCTACACCTTCCGAGCAAAAGAGAGAAGTCATGAAGTCAAATCGAAAACGAATGAAGTGTCAAAGGAATAAGCATGTACATTCGTCCAGAAAACCGGATCAATTGGCTAGATCTGAGGCAGTGACGGACTTGGATATAATATTTATTCGACAGTTGGCTGACCGGTAGCACCGCCATTTCAGCCAATGGAAACAAATCATCATTTGAATTGATCGCCCAAAAACAACGAACTTCAACACCACCAACTGGACTCGTGCCCACCCCTCCGTGTTTCCTCTCCCTCCTCTACATTCCCATCCACCACTCTATACTCCTTTTCGTGGACTGTTCCCCTCCCCCCCCCTTCCTCTTCTCTTCTCCTCTCCGGTCACCCTCACCGGGTCTCTCCATGCCTGGTATCCGTTAAGGTTCCTTGGTCTTGACACAGCTCTAGCTCCAATTATGCCGAGTAAGCTCCTGCTGCAGCTCTTTCTGTCTTAAATGAATTGAGAGTCGATGGACTGATGATATCTTTCTCTCAAAAGTTCGCCCATTGGATGAATGGGCCGCTGCCCGCACGCAGTCCCTTCCACTCTCCGCCCTCAAAGGTGCCGTCGTCGGTATCGATGCTTCGCATTACATCAAACAGCACCTCCTCCACCCTTCCACCCGTGAGCCTCTCCTGGTCGCTCTTGGCGGATTCCCGTTCGCCCTGAGGAATAATATCGAACGAGAGCTGCAGCTCTTCAAGGACTTGGGCGTAGCATGTGTTTTTGTTTTCGACGGTCTCGACTTTGGCACTAAGAACCAGCGACCCCACGTATCGCCGGAGTCGGTACGGGCATTTGAGCAAGCTTGGGATCTCTATGACCAACAACAGGCTGATCAAGTGGTGGACGCATTTAGTGGTGCTGGTAGGGGTTGCCTGGACCCTTGAATCGAGGAGCGACTCGCTCTGCACCGCCTGAACCTGCACTGACAATGTTTGGGTATTCTAGGCACTCCTCGACCGGAATCTCTGTATCGGTTCTTGCAGCGTATTCTCCATAATAATGGTATAGATTATATTGTGGCGCCTTATAGTGCTGCGGCTCAGGTGAGATGGCGGGCCGAGAAGATTTGCTGTGCCCGTGTCCTAAGCGCTTTTGACAGCTAACGATTGCATAGCTTGCCTACCTCTCAAAAGGCCCTGATCCCCTGGTTGATGCAGTGTGCGGCCCATCGGAAGTCTTGATGTTCGATGTGGATAAGTTAATTACCCGGATTGACGCCGACCCAGCGCAGTTTTGCTGGATAACCAAACAGACATGCCAGGAGGAATTAGGTAGACTTTCCAATGAACAGTTCCTGGATTTCTGTCTCCTCCTGGGGTCTTTATTCCTACCGACATTCCCCATATTTGAGAACCCCGCCTTTCCTGGAAAGGGCGCTACCATTCGGGATGCTCTACCGATGTTCAACTCTGCTGGACGGAGCGCCCTCTCGCTGTGCGCCCAGTTCGAGGAGGATCGCCGTATGCAGGAGCTTCAATACACAGACCGTTACAAGCGTGCATTCATGACAGTGAAGCACCATGTGTTTATAGATGCGGAAGGACGGGTGGGCCCGATGGACCCAGAGAACACCTCTTCTGACATGCACGAGTTGATCGGTCAGCGTCTTCCCGAAGAACTCTACTTTTATCTCTCTAAAGGTGTCTTGGGCGCTGATGTGCCCAACTACCTGACGTCTGGCGAGGTCATGGTCTCTCGGCCTTTGGGCGTGGAAGATACAGAAATCTATCGCCAGGTTGCCGGGACCACCCTTACTCCAATCAGAACCCAAGCGATATGCTTGCTTTCTAACTCCCTCCATAGATTCTACCAGACCAAGGTGATCCAAGTGCGCACTTGGTATGATGAGAGGTCCGATACATCAGTCAATCTCAAGTCTTTGCCTTCGGTTAAAGATACTATTCAGTCTTGGAAGATCCGGATTGATCAGCTACCGGAGGGGCTGAAGAAACTGCAGGTTAGTCTGCTAATGACCGTCGATTTCACAGCGTTCCGCTAATCGAGACCAGCGGTCGAATGGTCCGTTCAAGTTTGCCGTCCAAAGCCTGAAGGATTCAGAGTTTGTGTCCAAGTCTCTCTCTGCCAGGGAGTCCCAGGTATGTCCCATTTTGTTCGAGTTGTGCAAACGTGGCAATCTGACTAGTGCCAGCCGTTGTCGTCCCAAGAAGAGATCCTTGCCAACGTATTCTGGAGATTCTTACAACTGCGTGGGTATATCGACGAGAAACACCAGCTCACATCCTGGGGCTCTTGTCTAGAGCAAGCCCTATCGGTGCTTGACCCAGCCGATAATCTTGAGGAGGCTACTTTCCTTGCCATTGAGATGGTGCGCTTTGGTGTCCTCAATGCGAAGCAATGGTTTTCCCACGTATCGGGAGGCCCGATGAGAGGTTCTGGTAAGCTAATCGAGCCCGCCTTCTATGTCAGCAGAGCCATGCTGATATGTCTTTGAAGATGAGGACAAGAACTTCAATATTCTCGTCTCTCGCGTGGCGTGTATCGCTAAACTACAGCATAAGAGCATTGGCTACTCTGGACCCTTGAGCCGGCAGCTACTCTGCTACCGATCGTTGGTTTCGGAAGTCCGTGTCACATTAAGGAATCTGATCGAAGTCGTTTTGACGGGTCTTCTACTCAGCGGAGATGCTGACAGGGATCGCGATGACTGGACCGGATTGAGCGTCAAGTAAGCGGGACCTTGTCCTAGCCAACGAATGACTGGCCTAACATGATGTAGATTGCCCTTTATCGACGACAATGACTGCGGCCTGGGTATCGCCGTCCGCACATACCTTGATGACTTGCCCCTGCAGGCCGACCCGACATCTCCAGAGGCACGGGCTGAAGTGAAGTCGAAGGGCAAGGAATGGTTCCAACACAGCGATAGCTTTACAGGTAATTTGGATTTGGCTTTCAAGCTTTGGGATGCGGTGAGTAGATCTTATGCCATAGACTTCCGACATGAACTCTGTACTGATTTCAACTTGCAGGTCTACAAAGGAACACAGCACGCAGGAAGAGAATCCAAGGACAGTAAACTATTTGGAGACGCCAACAGCTGGTTGACCGAGAGGCGGTGATAAGAATTTACTGAGAATAAGAGGCGCAGAAGAATATGAACTACCGTAATTCAACATTTCTGAAATCTACACGATCCTACCATCCGGACCCTATCAGTTGGCCATATGAATATGAAATCGCCACCGCTTGATGGATGGGCTTATACTATGAAGCAAAAGAACCCATGTATTAGTAAAATACCATGCTTCTGATGATCAACCATGGTTTAGTAGATTTATTCATTCATTTATTTTATTATTATTTTTTATTGTTTTTAATTATTGTTTCCGTTGAAGCTGGACTCATTTGCCAAGTTGATACCAAGTGTCCTCTTCCGACCCGCTTTTGGCGGTCCGCCGCGGAGCTCTTTTGGCTCTTTGGCTCTCCGCGCCGATGCTTCATTTATCCGCTAACTTTCATTGCTCCGGAAACTGACCATTTGCAGTTAAGGCGCAATTGTTTCAACCTCTGTTTCCGAACGGTAAAGCTTGTCCTCACGTTTTATCTTCCCAATAATCACCATGGCTCGTCTGAGCTACCTGCTCGTGAGCTGCCTCAGCGTCGTGAGCGCTGCTTCCGCAGTCGTCGACCTGGTCCCCAAGAACTTCGACAATGTCGTCCTCAAGTCCGGCAAGCCCGCCCTCGTTGAATTCTTCGCCCCCTGGTGCGGTCACTGCAAGAACCTGGCCCCTGTGTACGAGGAGCTTGGACAAGCTTTCGCCCATGCCGAAGACAAAGTGACCATCGGCAAGGTCGATGCTGACGAGCACCGCGATCTCGGCAAGAAATTCGGTATCCAGGGATTCCCGACTTTGAAATGGTTCGATGGCAAGAGTGACAAGCCCGTGGACTACAACGGCGGTCGTGATCTGGAGAGTTTGTCTAGCTTCGTGTCAGAGAAGACGGGCGTCAAGCCTCGTGGCCCGAAGAAGGAGCCCAGCGAGGTTGAGATGCTGACGGATTCCTCCTTCAAGACTACAATTGGAAGTGACAAGGATGTTCTGGTCGCTTTTACCGCCCCTTGGTGTGGACGTGAGTTTACCCTTTTCTTGTCTTGATACTCAGCTGGGCTGTTTATTGGATTTATCATGGGGTGCGTTGATGGGCTCGACCGGGTACTAATTTGCCACTAGACTGCAAGAACCTCGCCCCTACCTGGGAGTCCCTCGCTAAGGACTTCGTCCTCGAGCCTAACGTTGTGATCGCCAAGGTCGATGCTGAGGCCGAGAACGCCAAAGCTACTGCCCGGGAGCAGGGTGTCACCGGCTACCCGACCATCAAATTCTTCCCCAAGGGCTCCAAGGAGGGCATTGCTTACTCTGGCGCTCGCTCGGAGGAGGCCTTCGTTGAGTTCGTGAACGAGAAGGCTGGCACCCACCGCTCCGTCGGAGGCGGTCTTGATGACAAGGCTGGCACCATCGCCTCCCTCGACGAGCTGGTCGCTAAGTACACCTCCTCCCAGAACGTTGAGGAGCTCCTCAGTGAGGTGAAGATGGCTGCCAAGGGTCTACAGGACAAGTACGCCCAGTACTATGTCAAGGTTGCCGAGAAGCTCAGCCAAAACAAGGAGTATGCCGGCAAGGAGTTGGCTCGTCTGAAGAAGATTATCGCCAAGGGCGGTTCGGCGCCGGAGAAGGTTGACGACCTCATCTCTCGCAGCAATGTTCTGCGCCAGTTCCTGAGCCAGGAGAAGAGCGATATGGACATGAAGGATGAGCTGTAAATGTACAAATTCGTATATGACGTGATGGGGATACACCCGGAGAGCTAGCTATATGTGATATGAATGTGCTCTTGGCTATAGAACTTTGGTATCAGTCCGTCTCTGTAGAACCCCTATAGGAATAATGAATGAAAACGAAACATTTACACTAACTCATGAAATACACTAGATCTATGAAAAATAACCAGATAACATTCTCAGGGTATCGTATGCAATCGTCTTAAGACCACGAAAAACAAGGCCCTGCAAAGACGCAAACCTCTAATCAAGACGAGAAAAAAAAAAAAAAAAAAAAGAATGCAATGAATGCGCAAACAACCAAACTCCTCATAGAATCAAAACAAATCCCCTAGTCTAACCCCGTCGCACTATCCATCAGAGCAATTCAGATTACTTGGTCGGACTTCCTGGTCCCGTCGGCGTACTTGAATCCTCAACAATTGTCAGCGAAGCCTCCAATTCATCAAGCCGCCTTGCCATATCGTCCACTACCACACAGTCCGTCAGTCACCTGAGCCAACATGTTCTCTCTGGGGGCAGGGGGGGGGGGGGGGGGGGGGGGGGGGGGGGGCGGGGGTAATAGGACAAGACACACGTTTCCCGAACATCTCCCGCGACACATTATCGAATTTATGCTGTAATTGATCGAGAAGGTCATCCACAGCTGCCGCGAGCTGGCCCTGTGCATCGGTAGCCTAGGTGTAGAATTAGTACACAGATTGTACCGGTAAGATGAGGAGGGGGAGGGAGGGACGTACCTGCTCGCCAGTGGGGGGAGTAACAGCCTCGGAGGTAGAGACCGATTTATTGTCGTCTTCCGTCATTTTGAACCGACAAGTAAAGTATTAAAAAAAAAGAAAAAAGAAAATAATACAAAAGTATACGTCACAAAATGAAAAGGGGAACGTCAAACACGTTCTCAACCAAACCCTGACACCAGTAGTATAGTATTTATAGGCAGGAGACGCAAGTCATCACGATAAGATGCGCGCATACATACCACATACCATACAAAACCCTGGATCAACTATTCTCCATCCCCGATATAGAGAGGCTGTCTAATCCTGATACAGCCTAGTGCATCCTTATCAATAGCACTAACCGGATTAGGCCTAGCTCACATCCCAAAAAAATTCCCGTGGTTGCTACTCTTTGATCGTCTGGGCTCCGACAAGTTCTGGTTTTCGAATATTAGGATACCCTTCTTTTTTCTTTTTCCTTCTCTCTCTTTTATTTTTTCGTTTCTAAATTACAGGACTTTAAGGTTCTTATCAGGGAAAAATGCCTAAGCGGAGTAAATTGCTTCAGGCTCTGGATGACCACCGGGGTCGCGATTATGAGGCTGAGAAGCAGAAGAAGCTAGTTAAGGCGGCGGAAAAGAGGAAGGCTGCTAAGAAGGTTGCTGCTGGGGAGGATGGTGTTCACGCGAAGGATAAGGTGGGTTTCCTTCTTTGTCTTAGTTCTTGCCCTTTCGTTTTATATATATTGCTCGATTGGCAATTGGTATTAACTGGTTTGGCGATCAAAGGCCGAAGACCTGAAGTTCAAGAAGCGCGAAGCCGAGGAAGAGGTCGAAGAGGAAGGATCAAGCGACGAGGAGGAGGAAGAGGAAAAGGAAGAGACCTCCGATAAAGAAGAAGAGGACGATGACAATGACGAGGAGGAAGAGGAAGAGGAAGAAGAAGAAGAAGACATCCCGCTCTCTGATCTCTCGGACGACGAAAGAGAAGACGTCGTACCACACCAACGTCTCACGATCAACAACTCCGCCGCAATCAACGCCTCCCTCAAGCGTATCTCCTTCATCACACCCAAGACCCTATTCTCTGAGCACAATTCGCTAGTCTCGCAAGAGCCGATTGACGTCCCCGACCCCAATGATGACTTGGCTCGCGAGCTGGCCTTCTACAAGGTTTGCCAGGCGGCTGCTTCGACGGCGCGTGGACTACTCAAGAAGGAGGGTATCCCGTTCACTCGACCTGGAGATTACTTTGCTGAGATGGTTAAGACGGATGAGCACATGGGCAAGATCAAGAAGAAGCTGTATGATGAGGCGGCGGGCAAGAAAGCGGCTGCGGAGGCTCGCAAGCAGCGTGATCTGAAGAAGTTCGGAAAGCAGGTCCAGGTCGCCAAGTTGCAGCAGCGCGCGAAGGAGAAGCGTGAGACTTTGGAGAAGATCAATGATCTGAAGAAGAGTATGTTTGGTTCCTGTATCTTGTTGTATTGGCTTCCATGCAATGAGTTTGCTGACAGAATCGTATGAACAGAGCGCAAGGCCAACCCCTCCGGCCCTACAGACAATGACAACGATATGTTCGACATCGCCATCGATAACTCCGAGTCCAAGGGGCGCAAGCGTGGCCGTGAGGATGGCGGCGGTCCCAATCTGAAGCGTCAGAAGAAGAACGAGAAGTACGGCTTTGGCGGGAAGAAGCGCCACGCCAAGAGCGGTGATGCTATGTCCAGTGGAGACCTGCGCAGTTTCTCAGTGAAGAAGATGAAAGGGGGTGCTAAGAGGCCTGGTAAGAGCAAGAGAGCTGCTGCCAAGGGACGGATGTGATTGACTTCCTTGTTCTTCTTATTTTTGCTTGTATGGGATGTAAAAACTGGCTTTATGGGGTTTCAAAAAGAATACTGTCGATTATCTCCTAGACTCTGGATCCAGAATCGTGGAATTATTCCGTGGTTTCGGGTTTGCTTTATGTGTACATTGAAATAATATGGATGACCTTGTCCACAGCACCTGCCTTCTTATACTAGTACATTCTAAGTACTTGCTGGCAAAAGAGATATCTTAACATCGCTGACAAAGAAATGCCCAGCCATATCAGATGTCATACCAGCTCTACGGCGGCCCTAAGATTGCAGCGAGAGGCTCTGCTCACTCGCATGGAGTCACCAAATATCAAGCTTATTTCTAGTACCTGCTTGTGAGAAAGGTTAGACATGTATACATACCACTAGGGAATTGTGAACCCCTACAATCTCAGATTTGGTCCAAAAAAAATAAATAAAAAGAGAGAGAGAGATCTGCTCGTATTGAATAAGGATATTATCAAAATCATAAAATGCTGCCTTGCAGCTACGCTCCAATCCCGGTAGTCCCATTTGTTGTCCCGTCCATGGCTGTAATATCTAAACCGCCCATTCCTCGAATATGCTCAAGGAGATTATCAACACGAAACCCTATATTGAGCTGGTGTTCGGAAAAGACCAGGTCCAATTTGACCTTAGCATCATCTGCATGCTCGAGCGAATGAGCCCGGATCAGCTCCTTGCCGTGTTTTGTATTGCTCTTGTGAATAACTTCGTCGCAACCTCGGGCTTGACAAACCCATGTATCGGATGTTGATTCATTTCCGTTAAGAGTGTCTGACTCCGAGGGTGCCTGGTCACCGACAGAGACCGACGTATTGCGACTTTGGAGGATTTCCTGTAGCGCGGGTGCCTTCTGAAAAGGCGTAGTTTCGGGGTTGGAGAGCATTGAACGGGTTCTGCGTTTCGCCCGCGTAGATAAAGGATCGCGGACAAGATCATGACCGCGAACTTTGCTGGGAGTTTCAAATTCATCCATTGCATCAGGGTTGTCATCTGATAGATATTCATCGTCCGCTGCGGCGACACTCCTCGTTCGCTTGCCAATTTTCTTGCTAGCGATCGTGCTTTTAGGGCGTAGCACAGACTTACGGACCCGGCGCCTTCGCGGCCTGGGCTGTTCTTCTTCATGCTCACTGTCCTCCTGAGAGGACTCATCTTCGTTGGATAAACGAGGTCGTAGTGGAGTGAACGCTATTTGTTGCACGTCGTGTTTCTTCGCGGCGGCTTTCAATTCTCGGTATATGACCTTGCGTGACCAATCAAAATTTGGAGTTTTGGCCTCATCCATGAGCTCTATGATTGCATCGGCTTTTGAGGCTATGAGGTCTTGGGCATATTCTGTACTATCGATCTCGAAGCGCCCCACTATCGTGGAGGCAACAAGATCAAGATTTAGTTGGCGTTTCGCCAAGTGTCCGGCCTCCTTTAGGTCAAGGATCACCTGGTAAATGGCCTCTGTTTGCGTTTTAGAGACCGCGGTTGGGTCTGGTTCATGAGCTGCCTCTTCCGGTTCATCGTCGGTTTTGTCTTCTTCGGGTTCTGATTCTGCTTTCGGTGATTCCAATTCGGCCTTAATCCCTTCATATTCCTCCTAACCATCGATTAAGCTACTGTTATTGATAGTACAGGAGGGGGAACAAGTACCGGAAACTTTTCACGAAGGTGCGCAAAAATGTCTGTATCGACCCAATGAACACCCTCCTCGCCCTTCAGCATTCGGGTAAGTAGGAAGTGATGATGTTTGTAGAAGACTTCAGCCGAATCATCGTTATCCTCGCAAATCCCATGCGTATGGCTCACGTACTATCCCAGGGGTTCTACGTCAGTGACGATACTCCACTACGAGCGCATGAAAGGGGATCCACTAACCTCCTCGCACAAGTATTCAACGCTCGGAGTCCGATTCCTCCGCTTGCTCCGCCGCCTTTTCTGGTGTCGGTCCGCTAAGAAATATAGTAAATCGATGGCCTCCACCACATCATTGAACATAGGCCGATAACCCCTCGCAGGCGAGATGGAGAACCAGCCTGCACGGCCGGCAACCCAGATGCCAACCTCACCATCATCGTGCTGGCCGTAAGCGTAATGCGTAACGTTTTCAAGAACAATTCGTTTCGTAAGGTAGTCTTGGTCGAGCACTGATTCCAGCGATTGATGTGTCAGAATGAGGGGGACGTGGGCTATGGTATGTGAGCTGTTGTAGATCGGAACGCACCGAGGGACTCCTGCTCCTCCTCCACCTCATCCAAGCACCCGGTTACTTGGACAGGATTGTCCGGGGAGGCCGTGAGGAGGTTTGCATAGCGGGATTTGCCCGGGACCAGGACTCTGACCTCGGATAGACTGAATTCTTCCCAGTCGTTCTCGTCAGCAAGAGACGGGTCTCTGGCGGCCAGGACACTATCTTCTCGCGATGTCATGTCTCCGGAGGCAGCATGATGCCTTGACCGACATGCAAGGAAGGGGTCACAAAGAGGCTCTTGGAAACCGATATAATGAGAAACGGGATGAAATAAAGAAGAACGGGTGATATTGACAGGCGTTGTTGAGATTCCAGAGGGTCTAAAGAGTAGACGATGGTTTTGTATTTATTGAATCTGGTAATTACCAGGCGGTACACATTATGCACTACTCATGAATTCCGTATCTTACGTGGTCCATACGTCAGACTGTATTACGGAGTTTACACCTTTTGCAAGTGGGCGCAAACCCGCAGCTGTTTTTTCTTCTAGTCGCAGTCGCAGTTTCAGTTCCGTGCTGTGGTTGTTCAGTTGATAGAGTACAGCTTCTCTCATTCTTGGATATTTAGGGCTGCGGGTCAATTGAGAGCTGTTTTGTTTCTAGATTTGGTCGCATACAGCATCACCTAAGCTACTACTTCAACTCCCCTTCTCCAATTTCTCTTTCCCCGCGACTGATGGGATTCCGCCCGGGCTTTAGGCTATTTCGAACTACCATGTCTGGAGAAAAGATTTACGAAGGTGTTTTCGGTATGTTCTCCACATCACATTTCTTTCACTCAAAATACAAAGTATTTTGGCAATCAACAGCGAGCTAACAACTGCAACAGCCGTCCATAAACCCCAAGGAGTCACTTCCGCCGATGTCATTCGCACCCTCCAACACCACTTCAACCCTTCAAAGCTCTTCAAGCCTTGGTTAGAAACCGAGCGCGCCCGTCGAGACCGCGAAAGCAAGAACCAGCGCAGACGGCGCCGCACGCAACGTCTGGATGTCAAAATTGGCCATGGAGGAACCCTCGATCCACTGGCAACCGGTGTGCTAGTCACCGGTATCGGAAAAGGTACCAAACAGCTTAATGACTTCCTGGGATGTACCAAGACCTACGA